TAATCATATTACTTTAAGTAAAGTCAATGGTATCTACAATGTAATTTGAATTTTTAAAGTAAATAAATAAAAGGACTCCCAAGTTGCTGTCCTGGGTCATGTCTGGTTCTGGTCAGGAAGATGATTATCAGAGCCAACTGGGGCTCTGATGGGACAGAGTAGAACTGGGGAAAAAAAAAAACAGCTTGAAACAATAAACTCCCAATATTTTTCCTATTCATTTAATATAAATAAATGTAAAAGTATACACAAGAGGCTGCCTGGCAGTCCTAGCACTCTGTCCTATTTTATATTATAAATGCACTATCTATCCCCCTGTTTCACCAGCCACATCTTTGTAATTCAAATAAATTGACGTAATTTGAGATATTTTTCTCCTAGCAAGTTGTGGTTCTTCTGATAAAACAAACAGAATCAAGGCTGAAAACCTGTCTTAACTTCACTCTGGGTGGTGATGGCCTGGGGCCAGTTCTCGCACCCTTTGTCTGCGGCACTGTGACTAGGTGGGCTAGTTGTGACGTCTCAGTGGCCTAACACACACATTTCACCTATTCCTTGATTTTGCCATCTTCCAGTGCAGGTTGGAAGTAGGACCTGCTCTTCGATAATCCCTCAGGGGTCCCAGCTGGCCCAGGGCTGCCAGCTCACACACTGCCAGTCACAAAGCCAGAGGGAAACCGCGTGTGGTGAAGGACACCTGCCTCTGACGGCCAGAGAAGCTGCTTGCCATTCCTAATTCCAGGTTCCCAGGGAAATGCAGCCACACTGCGTGCACGGAAAAGAGACAGCCTGGATTTGTGAGCCGATGCAACCGTGACCACAGTTCTATTTATTGAATACACTCTGCCCTCCCGAAATAATTTTACTTTCACATATTCACACTCTTACTTTGACATATATGCTAATGTGATCAATTTGTATAATTTATAACAGAGTATTAAATTTAGGAAGTTCTTATATTATCTGTCAGGTCTCATTGTAAGTCTTGAAACTATCCTCTACTTAGATATTTCACTTGTTTTAGTGTCAAAGAAGTAAATCATTTTGTACTTTTGTAATAGAACAATATTGATATAAAATACTACTGACAGGTAGGAATAATGCAGGCTTTTCTCCTTGGGTTGGGATTTTTTCAACTACTAAAATGACATTAGTTAACTGTAATAGTGATTATTAAGCAATCTTTGGAATTTTTCTGACATACCTTCATCCATAATCCATCTCATCCATATATGGGGCCCTTAAAGCTTTTCTCAAAAAATTAGGTTTTAGGGATTTATTAATTGTGGATGTTTAGGTTAGCCTGAATGTGACAGTGGCAGGATGTGTTTCTGAGCTCTTCTGTTCCATATTGATTGTGGTCCCATCAGAGTCTTGATAAACTGACCCACTCTCTGAAAGCTTGCTGTGGGAGAAGTGTCCGGTTTTCACGCTTATCTCTTTTTCATATATAAAAATTCTGTTGCAGATGACATGACATTATACATAAAAAAACATTCATGAGAGTAATTAAAGAAGACACAAATAAATGGAAACCTATCCCATGCTCATAGACAGGAAGAATTAATATTGTCAAAATGGCTATCCTGCCTAAAGCAACTAACAGATTCAGTGCAATCCCTATCAAAATACCAATAGCATTATTCAACAAACTAAAACAAATAGTTCTAAAATTAATATAGAACCACAAAAGACCCCAAATAGCCAAAGCAATCCTGAGAATAACATCCAAAATGTATAAAGAACTTACATGCCTCAACACCCCAAAAACAAATAACCCAATTAAAAAATGGGCAGAGGATCTAAACAGACACTTCTCCTAAGAAGAAATATGAATCGCAACAGGCACATGAAAAGATCCTCCAATTTGCTAATTATCATGGAAATACAAATTAAAACCACAGTGAGATATCACCTCACACCAGTTAGGATGGTCACCATCGAGAAGACGAGGAACAACAAATGCTGGCCAGGCTGTGGAGAAAGGGGGACCCTCCTACGCTGCTGGTGGGAATGCGAATTAGTTCAGCCGTTGTAGAAAGCAGTATGGAGCTTCCTCAAAAAACTAAAAATAGAAACACCATTTAACCCAGTAATTCCACTCCTAGAAATTTACCCAAAGAAAACAAGATCCCTGATTCAAAAAGACAGATGCACCCCTATGTTTATCGCAGCACTATTTACAATAGCCAAGATATGGAAGCAACCTAAGTATCCATCAGTAGATGAATGGATAAAGACGTGGTATATATACACAATGGAATATTATTCAGCCACAAGAAGACAAGAAATCCTACCATTTGCAGCAACATGGATGGAGCTAGAGGGTATTATGCTCAGTGAAATAAGCCAGATGGAGAATGACAAGTACCAAATGATTTCCCTCATTTGTGGAGTGTAACAAAGCAAAACTAAAGGAACAAAACAGCAGCAGACTCACAGACTCCAAGAGGGGACTAGCGGTTACCAAAGGGGAGGGTGGCTAGAGAGAGAAGGGGATTAAGGAGCACTATAATTAGCACACACAGTGTAGGGAGGACACTGGGAAGGCAGCACAGCATGGAGAAGACAAATAATGACTCTATGGCATCTTACTACGCTGATGGACAGTGACCACACTGGAGGGGGTGAGGACTTGATAATATGAGAGAATGTTGAACCACTGTGTTATGTATTTGAAACCAAGATAAGATTGTGTATCAACGACACTTTGATCAAAAAGACCAATTCTGTTGCGAATAACACAGTATTTTCTCTCTCCTGTTCACCTCTAAAGAACCAGACTTGGATCTTCCTTCCCGCTTCCCGGCTTTCCTACAGGCTCTCTGCTCAGGCTCTTATTTGTGTTACACTCTATTGTTCGCACCTTTAGTAGGAGTGAATATTAGCCCTCATTCTTTGATTCAGAGGCTGCACTGTGCACCCTCTCCTGCTACTTGACCGAATTTCAAACAGCCTTTCAGAACTCCCGCACAGGGACGACAGTGAAAGTGGTCGGTAATTGTTAATGAAAGCTTTGTAACTTCTGCTTCGTGTGACAAAATTGAATTGTGAAGAACAAAAGCTGGCCCCTCATCCTCCCTTGTATTCTGAAAAAGCTTATAGGAACTCCAGGTAAAGTCTGAGGCAGCTGTTCTTCCAATTTAGCAAATGCAGTATAAGACACAACCTGATAAAAATTAACAAGATTATTTGACTAATTCAATCTTTGGATGGCAAGAAAATATTATCCCTAACTAATAGGCTTGGCATTCTGTCTCTGAGATTATTGACTGTTCCAGAACTGAGTTAAAGATTTACCCATATTCACATTCATTACTGTCATAAAGTCTCCATAAATTATCCATTGTTTATTATAAAATTTTCATAATTTTTGCAAGGCTTGAGCTGTAAATACTTGTTGGGAGCATAAACTGAATTAATGGTTTGTTCAACTTATTTATTCTCTACTCCATAAGCTGTGATATAACTTACAAGCTACTATAGTACAAAAAAGAAAACAATAATTGAGAAAGTTCAAGATGTAAGAAAAATATGAATGAGAAAAATAAGGCTATCACAGTCATTAAAACCAAGACTCATCAAAAAAAAAAATTGATCTTGGAGCCAGATCTCTGACTCTGTATCATTAAGGTTTGCATCAAAATTGCAAAAATAATGAAGCTTATTAAATTCCATTGCTCTCCCTAAATATTCTTATTAGGAACATAATATTTAAGACAAAGAGAGAGTTCACAGTGTGGTTTAAATTTTCCAACCTTTTCCTTTATGACTTGCAATTTTTGTGTTGTGATGAAGAAATTCTTTCAAGATCATAAAGATAATCTCTATGTTTGCTTCTAAAATTTGTAAAGTTGTGGCTTTCATATATAAGCTCTTGATTCATCTGGGACTTTTTCTTTTTTAATGTTGTGAGGTAGGGATCCATTTTCATTCTTTGTCTACATGGAAAAATTTCTCAATTGAAAAATCAATTGTCCCTATACATTCTAGCTGATGGAAGGTGAATAGAAAGGAAAATTACCCCTGTGGCCAAGTTTGAGACAACTTAGTACCAAAAGCTGGGTTCCAACCTCAGTGGGGCACAGAGAACACAGTGGTGAAACTGTGGTAGGGACACAGCTGCTTGAAATTATTGCCTTGACTCAAAACTTGGGATTTTAGCCTTTCTAGTTCTCTTAAACATAGTAAGTCTTCCTTTCTTGGGGCTTCATTAATTCAGATCTTGTTAGAATTCACAGACTTTATTGCAGTTTAATTTTATTTCAAGAATAATGACAGACGTTGCAAGCAATCAAGTTGTGTAAAGGAGAATGTTTGCAAGAAAAAAGCTATCTTCGACTACTGCAAATGGATTTGTTTCTCTATAACATTGTGCGTAAACATATGTTAAGGTCAGTCCATCCCTTAGGAATTTCTACTAAGCAATTATAATATTGTTATACGTTGCTAGAAAGAAATTATGTTTTTCAGACTAATTTGAAGTAGCTTTTCTTCCAAAGAGTCCAATAGCATGTTTTTAAATAGAAACAACTGTAATGCTGTTTAATGAGTTTAATAAAAGAGAAAATAATGCCGTGGTTACGCTTTAATTCCCAAAGCTAATTGTTAATTTTTCTAATGTCCTGTTGGCAACCACTCATAACATGTTTTACCCAGATGAATTAATTTTAAGGAAAGCTATTAAGAAGAAACAGAAGTGTCCAAACTTGTCAAATCATCAGATTTACTAATCATTGACCCATACAGGTTTTATCAATTTTATTTATATGCTAGGTGTTTTCATTGTCAAACGTGTAACAAATTACCCTGAAACGTAGCAGAGCAACTTAAAGCAATAACCATTTATTATCTCACATGGTTTCAAAGATTTAGGGTTTGTGGGGGTGGCAGGGGGCAAAACTGGGTGGTTCCCGCTCACTTGTCACTTGAACTGTAGCCTCCTAAAGGCTCACCTGTGGGGGGTCCCACCTCCGGGCTCACTCACATGGTGGCCGGAGGGCCTCAGCTCCTTGTCCCAAGGGCCTCTCCAGAGACTGCTTGAGTGTCTCACAGGACAGCTCGCCTCCCCTGAGCAAGTGATAGAAGAGAGAGAGAGAGCTGCGCGCCTGAGAGGCGAACCACCGTCCTCACAGCGCGTCGCCGGTGCTCCGACCCGGGAAGGGCCCCTGCAGGCCGTCGGCTAGGTGGTGGGGGACACTGGGGCCGCTTTGGAACTTTGCTATCACGTTATGGTATTAGAAAAAAGAACACAGAAGAGAAGGGGAGCAGGGGCGTGTTCCCGCAATAAAAGGCTCAGAAAGAGACCCACGTATATATGTACATAAACATAGGACAGGAACATACTTGCTAGAACATGCTTCCGGGTCTCTGTCTCCGGCCATTCATTGTGCCGCCTGCAGTGACGTCAATCACTCTTCTGTTTGTGATCACCAGAGCATCAGAGCGTAGGATAATGTGTTGCAAAATCTGGTAGGAAGAAACAAAAAGAAGAAAACGTTCATTTCTAACATTAACAAAATTCCAATTTTTTTTTAAACTGGCTTTTATTTCTATGCTGAAATGATCGACTCTGCCTTCCTCCCCCTGCAAATTCATTAATTTAAAAGAAATGGTTTTGAACAATGTATGGAAAACAGAAAGTAATTTTAACAACTTGGAAAAGAAATAAATGCAGGATAATGAAACTAAATAATCAAGGGGAAATGTTGTAAGTGGGGGAAATGAACAAACTGCTTCCCAAGAGCAAGCCAGCAGGTAAATGTCTGGGGACACGTGCAGAACTTGTTTGAAAAGGAAGAAATTGGATGATACCCAGGGACCCCACCGTATCGAACCTTAACATACTGGTTCGGTGAGTGTTTGCTCGCGTCTTCGCTCTACCCGTTCCGCACACAGTCATGCGGCGTTTGCGGCACACTTCAAGGCAAGGGCATTTGCTTCCTCTCTCCTCCTCACCGTCTCGCTTTACCAACTGCATTGTTCATCGTGTATTAACTGCTAGGATAAAACCTCCCCGAGCCTCAGGACCACCCCCCAGGAGCAGGCAGTATCTTCCTCAGGTCACTGTCCAGTGCCAAGTGCAGAGGAAGGAAGGCGGACGGAGGCGGGGGGCGCGGGGGGATTGTTCCACGTGGGGGCCCCTCAGAGCGCCTTCCCCATCCCATCAGTCCGGGAACTCTGTAGGTGTGACGGTCTGATGGGCAAAGGAAAAGACGCGGCTGGGCGGATGTCAAGAGACCTGGTGTCCGCAATTTCCAGCACCCAGTCACGTGACCCCAGTAAGAGAATCTGGGAATGTACTAGAGCTGTGTGTCCAGGAAGAAAAGGGGGTAGCCTCCTAATGGTAAGGCTCCTCTTCTAATTCTCTGACCCTGAAGGATGAGGATGCACATTTAAAATGATGTGCAGTTTTTTTAAATGCCTAACTTGTATTCCCATGCCCTTAACCATAGACCTTCTATTTGTGCAATCATTTAAAAAACCCTATGAAGTAAAATAATTTGCAGTTTAAAGTTTACACTTATAGTGCCATGAATTCAATAAACTGTTACTTGAGACTGAAGAAAAGGGAAATGTAATGAAAAAGTCGGATTTCTAATGCGGAGGTTTCAAAATGAAAGAAGTAAAACGAAATCTGAAACCTCAAATAAAACAGATTTGGACGATTTCTCCCCTTGATTTATTTTCTGTTGTTATTAAGCATTAAAAGACTCATGAACTCAGACCTGACGTATTCCTTTGCAATCCTTTATTCCATTGACCTATTTATAGGCAAGAGACATGGTTCGCATCACCCGGTGGACTTCACAAGGGGAGTGGGCGGCTGCAATTTGATTCAATGGCAAATTAAGGAATTGTGGTAAATTATTTCCTCTTGATAACATTTCCAATTTAAAATCTCAGTCCTTAGCTTATGCAATTGAGGATTTTCCTTAGGTTGCTTTGATGGAATATTAGCCTTCTGTTTTCCCAACTTTGGTTAAAAATAATTCTGATTTGTTGTACAATTTTATTGCCCTTTTCCTCCTTTCTGTGCCCCCAAAATATTTTGCTTAATTTTTCCCTTTTCTAATTATATTTTACTCACAAGGAGTTTCACAGGTAGCTATGCCCACTGGCATTTTCTTCCTTCTTTCCTTTTTAACATAAGGAATTCACTAAGGTGAATCGCAGCTGTGCGTCTCCTTGATGGATTCATGATGTGATGTGAGCCCTCACACTCACCTAACACCACATGAAAGATATCCAGAAAAAGAGTGTTTTCACACAACTGTAATAGAAAAAAGGGAAATTTGCAAATATGTATGAAAGGTACCGTTAGATTTTTTTAATTAAAGGTGATAGCGAGAAGAATGGCCAAGCCAAAGAAATCCTTCCTATAACCATTAATCATCCCATTCAGATTTTCCAGGCTGTAAAGTCCTGCAGAGTAGGACTTGGTGTCCTCTGTCTGGCCCAGCTAGGCACTTGCTCTCTGTTGAATGAGTACATCGGTGACATCATATATGAATAGTAAGACCAATCATAGCTTTGCCTGAAACCTTTTCATGTTGAGATATGAAAATTGGCATATGGCATGTAAGAAGAAAGCTATACAAATACTTCTCACACTATGAATAGATTGTCTTTTTTCAAAAGAAAGCACATTGGACATTCTTATAAAGTTTTCTAGGCCTAGTCCACTGGTTAACCATTCATCTGTGCTAATAGAAAACTGTCAATCACACTAAAACTGTCTCCTGATGATTTAAACAGTTCCCTTTTTGAAGTGCCATCCCCTACTGTTCCTTGTCTGATTAGCAAAAGATTAATTTCCTAAACAGAAAGTGGTTCATCATAGTCATAATTTTATTAGACATCTTATTCTTTTTACAAAATTTTAGAGGAAAACAGGAATGTGTAGGATTCCAACCATCTTATTTAAAATTGTGTCAACAGGAAAAAAAATTGCAAGAAAGACATTCCTTTCATTTTCGCAGCATGAGGGAACAAATTAAATAGGTTTACAAAGTTGCCCACATTACTGTAACTCCCTTTCTACAGCCCATCTAACTATAATGTACTTGTTCCTGTGGGCATAGCTCCCACTAGCCTGTAGGCACATCAGAGGCTTGGAACAATATCCTCAGTTTCTATCCCTGTATGAGGCCTGACGTCATATATGCACTAATATTTTTATGCAAAAAAGTAATTTGGTAACAAAAAACTGAAATTCATTCTTAAGCATTTTTAAAACTAAAAACCAAAAATTATCTTGTCCTTGGATATAACCTTGCGATCACCTTAGTTGTTCATTAAAACAGTAAGCAGTCTGCATGAAATCTTTGTAGAGGGCCCGGTTATTTCATTTCACTTTGTCCCGCCTTCCCGTCAGAGTTCTGTAAACTGGGTCCTCACGCACCCTCAACCCTGAAAGCCAAGAGGGGAAGCGGACACGCAAGCCAAGTTGACTTCAGTGGTGCCCAGTACAAGGCCTTACGTGCCCTTGAATGCAACAGCTACTCAGTAGACGTGTGTGGAATAAACTGAAGGAGACCGCCAGGGAGAAGAGCCCTGGCTTCTGTGTCCTCCGGTGTACTTTTATGAAAATAAGTAAGTTTACATTCTGATCATTATTAGATAAGGTGAGGCACGGGACCCCGAGCTGAGTGGAGCGTGTGCTGGGTGTCGTCCCGTCACGGCCACAGCTCCCGGTGGCTTCCAGGCCGCATGCACGGGCAGCCTGCTCTCCCCCATCTCCCCTTGGCTTTGCTTCTGGAACCCCTGGGTTAGCAGCTGCCCTCCCAGGAAACTCTCACCAGCTATAAGAAGCTCTCACTTCTGCTCTCTGTCTAGGCTCTGGCATCTGTGCCATCCGATTCCCACCCCACCTTGACCAGGTGGCACCTGGCTGTGCGACAGTCTCCTCTTAAGCACCACCTCGTCCGGGAGCTTGACTAGGTGTCACTAGGTGCCTCTCCAGCATGTGCGTTGAAACCAGAGTATCTCTTGTTATAATACACATGACATGTAAGCGTTACTGTCTGCCTTCCCTCTGGGCCTGCAAGCTTTACGAAAGCAGAGGATTCTTCTATCTTGCCCAGCACTGTGTGTATAGCACCCAGGCCCAGTGAACGACTATGTGATTAAACTGAACAAATGATTCCTGTCTTCAGGTTGAAAGCGGAGCTGCCGTAAAGCGAACGGCAGGCAGGGAGTTTGTAGAAATGGTTTCAAATCCTACTGCCAGCACAGATGCTCTCTGGCTAGTGACTATGACCCTGATTTCCTCTTTCCAAAAAAACAAGTAAAATAGCTTTATTTCACTTGCTCACATCAGCTTCTGAAGCTGAGATACTCTTGCACTATGATAAATCAGAGATGCTGGGGGGCCCCTGAGAGGACTGCTATTTATGCCTTGTGGCTACAGAGACCGACCACCACATGGCAGCCCCCCACCAGGCCGAGGGCCCTCAGGTGTGTGGTGTTGGTGGCCTGGTCCGCTGCCTGCCTCTCGGGCTGCACAGCCCAGCGATCCCCCAGCTTTCTGAGCGGGTAGGCCGGCAGGGGCATCTCCCTGTTACTTCCCACAGGACACAGCTGCTTCTATTATTTTATTTATGAACTCTGGCCATTATTCCTTGTACCAAAACAACTGAAATGTCCCTTTGTGGGTGTCTGTGATTCCCATTTAAAGTCTAGTGAGGTCGGTCAAAACTGAGGCCAGATTCACATTTCTTATTTATAATTTACATCTAACTTCAAAAAAGATGAGGCATATGAAACAGGTTGTTTAAATCATGTATTAAGAACAGAAAAGATCAGATACTGTCAGAGGATAGGGAGAACTGGGTACCACTCATCTGACCACTGAAGCCATGTAACGTAGGGGTTAGAGTTCAAGCGGGCGAACCACGGTGGAATGGGGTGAGGGCCCTCAATCCCAAGTGTTTCATTCCTCTATTTTCCTGCTCTTTACCTTTATGTTATAGTTGTATGAATATTTCTTTTCAGACACCAAAAGAAAAAAAGGAAAAGCAGCTCACAGTTCCTCACTCCTAGGACTGCACGGAAGGATGGGCATTTCTTCCTGGGAGTCCTCCTTTCCAAGTACTCACTTCTAGGTTCTATAATTAAAATACACCCAATGGTTGGATCCCACAATGGAATGAGTATATATAATGGAACCTCAGTCACATCTAATTACTAAAAAATAGTAAATAACTCAGCCAATGTGTTTACAGCCATCAGTATTCAAGAAAGGGCTTATTCCACAAGTCTGTGCCCGACAGCGAATGCTAATGCTCATCAGTCGGCTGCTGTTGCATAGGATCCTTTATGTATAGTCTTTGTAGATGGGATTTGTGCTAGATTTTTTCTTTTTCTTTAAAAGCGCCAGGAAAGAAAATCTTGTAGGTTTTTCACTTCAACCAGCCTAATGCAAGCTATTAAGTCATTCTGCTTAGCTATGGATCTCAATTACCATTAGCTGACTTCACTCTGTCTTGCCTGTTCCCACCCCTTTCCTAATAGATGGCTTTAAAACAATGAGAGACTTAAAAATAATAATCACAAAGCCACAAATAACCAAGAAACCACACCCCAGCTTTACAACAACACATAAATCATTCCAGACAGGTCTCAAAGGATTTCCCCAGATGTAGAGTCTACAATTCCTTCCATATTTTTTATGAAGTGTCCTAGCACCCACGGTTCATCTTTCCCTTGCTTGTCTTTCAAAAAGAAGCCTTTATCCAAAGTGTGAAATAAGTGACCAGCTTTTGTGCCTTTGTTGTTATTTTTTCATCTCTGGGAGCAGGATTATGATCGCAAGAAATAATAGATGCTTTTCTATTCTACTCATTTGAGCTATGAGAAAGCCAAAGAATTCAGGTTGTTAAAAAAGGTTCCATACATTGACTAACTTGTGTTTTGCCATAGAAACATTCTATGGAGTGGGTGGGAAGTAAGGGGGATAATGGGGCACAAAAATTCTCAGTTATAATATGAGCTGGTCACGGGGATGGTAGGAC